CCCCTTTTTGGCATCTCCCAGAAGAGAACTGCTTCCCGCCTAGAGATATACATAATCGTAACAAGCACATATATCATGACATATATTATCAATTACTCTTTAAACATTTAGCTCTAAATCAAGTAAGAAGTTAGTTGATTGGGCGAAACCAGAAATTCAGATCATTGACAGACTCACAAAAAGAAAACACATATTTATTATCCTATTGGGTTTTTTTTGCGTCATATATAAAGTTAAGAAAGCACTCCAAGCTCCAACAAATTACCTTTTACACAGACAGCTTTCCCGGACCGAGTCCTTAAACATTGTAAACCTAGACGGCATGACATGGATTCACAGGCTCCCGTAAAAACCTGGAAGTAGAAATAATATTATATATTTATAATTTTGGTTGATGTGGAATTTACGCCAAACACGGATACACGAACCGATCGCTATAAATCATGTCTAACTTGTGTTTCTATTACGTATTAGACAGAAACTTTATACAATTAATGAGGTTTACAGATCATTGCAGAATCATGCAGAGTAATAAAAATGGCAAGATACAATAGAGTTGACGTGCAAAACTCAGTGGCAGTACAGTTACAAAGGCAACAAAATATGTAAAAACAGTTATTAAAGCAAGAAAGTATATAATATGCATATTGTATATTTTCGGGTTAATGTTAATATGTTGCGAGTTTTATTCACTTATGTATGTACGCCATTAGGTTTGTACAGTTACAAATATATTTTTATTCATTCATGCATATTATCAAGTACGTATGCTGTCTACATTTTCATTTATTTACTGTATTGATCTATTGGTGTTGAATATATAACAATTATTCAGTTACTAGTATACAAGCATTATCATTTGTTTGTTTTATCGACTGTTTGTAACACTAATCCAATAATAAGATATGTACTACCATAGGTGTACCTTTGACTTTTAAACTGAATATTGAGTAATTATTTGCAGTCACACGGATTTATTACTTATTGAATGTACTTCTAATTATCAAAATCCATTATGATCCTTTCCTTATTAATACGTCTAGATGAATCAACACATTCTGACCAATTATTACTTACTTGCGTCTGATCCTTAAGGAAAAACCTAGATCCAGATTCCTCCGTAATGTATGTATTACATCTTGGTAGTCGACAGATTAAGCTTTTGAAATTGTATTCAAAACTCACACAACCACCTTGCTCAACACATCGAGCTTGACACACTTTTATGCCAATATTCGTAGTAGTGATATAGCGACCTGCTTCCCGATCACGTTGTGTCGAACTGCAAAATGCAAACATCAAGTACAGTGATAAGATCAGAAACAGGTTCCCGAAGTCACGTAAACGTAGCAGTGCCATCTTGCTGTATTCACAGAGGAGCAGCGGAAGGCCTTTATATATAACAAATGCCGAATGAATCAATTTGATTGATTTTCGCCGTATCAGCACTTTTCCAGCTATTCGCTGGACGTCTTTCCTGATAAACAGTCAGCTCTCAGTTTAGCCGTTACATGGCGTTCTTTTTATACACATTAAACTTAATCATACACTCAGGTATGAAAGTTTCAAATGAAGCTTTTCTGTTGTTTTTCCCAAATTACTCTAAACATATCCCATGAAGTATATCTGACAACATCATTGCATAGCAAACAGGGTATTATACCACACAGGATATAAAATTAACATACCAATTAGTGACATTATGGGTGGCAAAAGAGCTGTATCTAAGCGCTCACGACGACACATATTGAGATATACTATCTATCAAAAGTTTAGACTCACTCAAGCACTCACTATATGTTATGGAGGTATATATAGTTACATCGAAGATGAAGTTCTCTACTAACTAAGGGTAACCAACTGCAAATCTTATGCAGATGAATTGCACAAGGATCATGCATCAAAATGCTGTAAAGAATGTTCAAATATCGGGCATGTGAACAGCTGCATTTTGATGTAAAGTTTTGTTCAGAGTTCGCCAAGTTTCAAAGTTTCATCATTTATTGAAGTCATGACAATAGTATCTTTCAACGTTACGAATTTGTTTTTACAATACATCAGTTCATGTGTAAACAATACCTTTAAACAGTATGGAATATTTTGCAAAATCTAGTTTAGAACAGCTGACTGAAATACGTGGCTACATTTTACACTAGTGAGTCTAAACTTTTGATGGGTAGTATGGTTATGCCAAAGAAGTATACTATCGAAATAAAAAAACGCATATGCGTTTGTCATATTTTAAATCTATTAATTACCTGCTGTGTTCATACAATCGTCAAAATATGTAACAACAAAAGTGTTGATAACGTGATTTTACACAATTGCACAAGTAAAATAGCAATGTTTGATTTTGATGAGATTTTTACAAGGATGAAAAAAGCATGCACTCGTCTGGCAAAAACATCCAGATTACTTTCGGAAATCGTCATTCGTTTTGAAGGAGTTTCAAGGTCAAATCACTACACCACATCTTGACGCTGCGGCACGGAACATTGTCATTGAAAGAATCCACGCTTGAGATTACCAATCTTCTGTTGCCAGGCGTCTGAATGTTAGTCTGAGCACGATATCACGGCTTGCACCTCGTTACAACCAAACTGACCGTCCACGTACAGGCAGACCTCGAGTCACCACTGCAGCCCAAGATCGGTACATCCGGGGAGTACATTTGCGTGATTGTACTGCTACGGGTGAGAGCACAGCAGCCAGGGTGCAGACTTCGGAGGATATCAGGTCAGACTGTACGGAACAGGTTGAGAGAGAGTGGAGAGCCAGGAGATCCGACGTCGGGACCGTGCTACGTCGTCACCATTGCGCTCAACGTCTCCGTTATCTTAATTTATCCACTTGGTTGTATAGACATTTCCTTCTTCTAAACTGATGTAAAGTTCACGTACTAAAGTCTATTTTGTGGACGAGTTATACATGTGTCTGTGTTCTGCGTTTCTTTCCTTTTTGAATAGTATATACACTCGGTAGAAGTTATGCAACAAGAATAACATCTGACACGGTAATTGTATTGATACAAGTGATGCATCATGTTTTGCATCGACCTTTTGATGGTTGGTGCATTTGGGACGATTCACCTCACTTTGTTATTTCTTTTACTGACAGACCAGTAAAGATCCTGGTTGAATTGATCTTCAGTAACCCTTGCTTGCTCAAAGAGGCGACTAACGGGATCGGGTGGTCAGGCTCGCTGACTTGTTTGACACATGTCATCGTATCCCAATTGCGTAGGTCGATGCTTATAGTGTTGATCAATGGCTTGTCTGGCCCGGACTCGATTATTTACGGAACCCGTGAAGAGCCACCTCCTCGTGGTGGGTGCTGGGTAACGCAAAGCGCTCTTCAACCCCCCGTTGTGGACCCGGGGGTATATTTGGTCCACCAACCTGTTGGCCGTGGGATGCGCCCCTGTGTCGGGTGAGGAAGGGAGTCTGGTGGTTGAGGGCGTTGGTTCCAGGAACAGTGTTCCTTTGCCCAACACACCACTTCGCCCCTGACTTCACCTAGACGGGTGGTAGAACTGGCCCGGTTCTATCACTCGGCTGGTCACGCCAAGCCCTGTGCTACATCTATGCACTATTGCACAAAATGTTTGAGATTTGTTCTATGGTATTTTTAAGTCTTCAAATATACAATTTCATGTATATATTTGCCTAGAGTCGTATGCCCAGAAGGCGGTGGCTCATGGGCCAATCTGGGGGAATCACTAATCTCTTAATTTTTCTGCTGGAGTATATCATCCGGGTATCCTTGGTCCTGCAAGTCGGAGATCCGCTTGTTTTTAGCATTGTCCTGGTGATACTCCGTGGTTGGTGGGGAGCTCGGATGACGAACCTTGAAAAATTAACCATGGCTTACGAAACCACCCTAAAAAAAGAAACGTCCACTAGACACTGATCCAGTTGATAATGATAAAAGAATGTCCATGTCCATTGAATACTGGCCACGATTTCTTGTTATTGAAACTGTTGACAAGACTCCATTGAAGTTGAACCCTTTTGCCATATCTAAGGGTATACAGGGCATTGCTGGTGATGTCAAGAATATTAAACGTTTACGTTCCGGTGCTCTGTTGGTTGAGTGTGGAAAACGGCAACAAGCCACCAACCTTATGAGTACAGAATCGTTTGTCAGCGTTCCAGTCACCGTCACGGCTCATTAAACATTAAACATGAGCAAGGGAATCATCAGAGACCGTGATCGATTGTTTGCAGATATGTCGGAACTTGACATCGTCTCCGAGATTAAAGATCAAGGCGTACTCTATGTCAAACGTTTCACAACCCGGAAAAACGATGTTGTCCTGTTTGGAAACATCAAATGGAGATAAATAGAATCAAATTTACCCAAAACATTAGTTTTGCCGATGCCAAAAAACTAGTTCAAAGCTCAGAGCATAAGGAGAGCTATGCTTCTATCACCATCTATCTGCATGCTGTCAGACGAACTTGACCTGGGTTAAATCCGAATTTCCTCTGATATTCTCAACTGCAATATCTACCCAAACAACAGAATCAGTTCCTACGTCTCAAAGCCAATGTGAAACAACCTCTGATCTTGACGCATCGTCTCAGTCGACATCAAAGTCTACACAGCCCGCCATCTTGAAAAACACGCTAGTGTGACGTTATAGACTACTGATAGACATGTATATTATGGAAGGATATGCATGCTCATATAATGCATGTGCATGTGTTATAATAGTATGCAAGTTCGTGAGTTTGCCAGTGTACGTGTGTACGTCTTCCTGGACCCGCGAAGATACATGCTTGTCGCAAGAGGGTGATCAGGCTCGTTTACTTGTTTTTAATCCTCACACACACATATGTTATATGGGGATGAAGGCTTAGTCTACTTTGTCAGACTGGTCACAATTGTAACATGGTGTCTTATCAACAGGCTCCATAATATCTTAAATAAACTTCAAATACTTTTTCAGATAATATACAGGTAAGACGCAGTAACCCCCCCTTACTTGTCCGACTTGCTCAGCCATGCATAGACACGGCCTCGGAGTTTGCGAAGTCACGACGACCCAAACACCCTTGGGACGGGTATATCGCCTTGACACTCGGACAGTACATACAGGTGACAGTGGCAACTAACTTAACTGTTGGTGTCTAGGAGTCTTCTATATCTATATATTTGTCCTTAACCAGGAAGTGATATAGTCAGACCTTAATCGGGTAGGTTACAACATGCCGATTGTATGCCGAGTCAAGTCTTGCAGAACTGGCCTACTTATTATCAAGTGTAGCATAACATGTTAAGATAGAATTCGGTCTCCATTTTGTATTCACTACAGGATTTATTTTATGCTTTTAGCTAAATGCAGATGTTCAAGTCTCTCTGTGTGTGTGTGTGTGTGTGTCCTCGTGTGTGTGTGTGTGTGTGTGTGTGTGTGTGTGTGTTTGTCCTTTCGTGTGTGTGTTTGTTTGCCCTCTCGTGTGTATGTGTGTCCTCGTGTGTGTGTGTGTGTGTGTGTGTTTGTTTTCCTCTCGGGTGTGTGTCCTCTGTGTGTGTTTTTTTTTTCCTCTGTGTGTGTGTGAATGTGTGTCTGTGTCTATCTAACCACTTGTGGCTGAGTATGTGTCTCTGCTCGTGTGTGACTGTGTTTGTATTTGTTTCAATGTGGTTCTGTATGGATCTGTTTATAGGTGTGTATCTGTGTTCTCTGTCTGTGCAACGTATATTGGGCCGTTGGTTTCATGTATCGCATGTGTTAATCAGCTTAACAGCCGAGCAACAGAAAGCATACACTTGAAGTTTGGAACAACAATTAACACTTATCAGAGGGGTAAACAAAGTCCGCAGTCTAGACTACCAGTTTTCCGACTTCCATTTTTATGGAAGTCGCGGTGGCTGAGCGTGTTAGGCGGCTGACTTTGTTTGTGTGCTGGCGATATCGGGCCTGAGTCTTGAGGGTGTGGGTTCGAATCCCGGATGGGACTCAACCAAAAAAAGTACTAGAATGTGTACTTTACTAAGAAAGTGTAATCCCAAATATAACATATGTAACAATTTCAAGTGTTACTTGTCTGAAAGGAGTGGGATTTTGGACGAGCGAGTGAGTGAGTGAGGTTTACACCGCTTTTACAATATAACAGCAATACCAAGCAGGGGGCACAAGGAAATGGTCTTTACAAAGCGTGCACATACAGGGAATCGAACCCAGGTCTTCGTTGTGGCGAGCAAAAGCTTTAACCACTAGGCTACCCCACCGCCCCACACGTGCACTAGTGCTTCGTATGGTTCATGGTAATGGGTTATGGTTTCATCTCATTTACCGATAACCATGACAACTATGGTATCGCATGTTGTGTTGTACAACAACGCCTAAGTTTCCAAAATATCGAAAACCCATTCGCGCCCTTATTGCAGTCAACCGCTTTCATTTGCCGATTGCACGGTTGTCTCGATCTACAAACTTAGGCCCTCTGCATCTTTACTCATATATTCTGTTGTGTCGAACATCGGGTAACTCGAAGTATTTACGCTGGTCTCTTCAACTGCGACTGTATATTATAACTATTATTTCCGCCTCTTCTAGGACAGATAGACAAACAGATGTTTCATAGTAATTTGACTTTGGGCATCTGGAAATGCATGCATAAAATATTCACCAGTCACTATTTAAGTGGCTTCGCGCGCCAGTTGTTTAACAGCGTTGGAAAACCTATTATATCTCAAGTATACACATCACATTATTCCTCCATAATACGCATATTACAGGTTGCTGTTTAACCGCTTCCTCCCACCAACCACAAGCATGCTTCTTTCAACACCAACACTGCTGCTGATCGTTGCCGTCATGCAGCCCGTGGACAGAACGTCAAGGAACGTCAACCCCCTTCACGGCATCGCTTACGTCTCCGTGACGACGGACAACCTGACGGCGTCCACTCAGTTCTACACGCAGGTGTGCATGGTCATGTACTACGTTAAACATACTAATGATTTGAACCCTAAAGTTTTAGTTTAAGGTCCTTAAAATGCCTCTTGTTACACTACGCGGAAAATGCCATAATACGATGTTATTGTAAGAAAATATGAAGTTTGTGCTCCGAAAACTGAAACTATTGCAATCACTTTTCCCTATCAATGATTTACATGTCGTCAAAGAGGAGCCTCCTTTTCTGTTCTAACATACGACTAACAAGTAAATATATTCTGCTACCGTTGTAGGCACATTCCATTTGACATATTTGTAGAGATTTCGTCAATAAGGGCTGATGGCAATGCTAAGTCATCATGCTACGTTAATAAGAGAATGGGTTGTTCAATAATACTTTTAAATAAAAGTACGGGAATTTCATTTTAAATTTAAATTGGGAGACAATCAATGTTAACATTGGCAGACAATCAATGTTGACATTGGCAGACAATCAATGTTGACATTGGCAGACAATCAATGTTGACATTGGGAGACAATCAATGTTGACATTGGGAGACAATCAATGTTAACATTGGGAGACAATCAATGTTGACATTGGCAGACAATCAATGTTGACATTGGCAGACAATCAATGTTGACATTGGCAGACAATCAATGTTGACATTGGAAGACAATCAATGTTGACATTGGGAGACAATCAATGTTGACATTGGCAGACAATCAATGTTGACATTGGCAGACAATCAATGTTGACATTGGCAGACAATCAATGTTGACATTGGCAGACAATCAATGTTGACATTGGCAGACAATCAATGTTGACATTGGGAGACAATCAATGTTAACATTGGCAGACAATCAATGTTAACATTGGGAGACAATCAATGTTGACATGATAATATGAATGTTTTGAGAGTGCATCACCACATGCAGTTTCATTATGACCATATTTCTTTGTACAGTAATCGCTCTTGTAAGATTATTAGTGTATGGCTTGAAATTTGCATGTGTACGATTTTCATTTTCAACCAAAAAACTGGCTTGAAACAAACACTAACAACTTGGTGATGCATAATGATTGTCAAAATTAATGGTCTACAGTTATTTATCGACCTTCTTGAAAACCGTCAAAGTCAAGACACCCCATGCACGTGTATGGGTTTACTGTGTTGTGCACGTGCATCCCATGCGTTGTGTTTAGGGGTGGTGATATAGAGAAATGGTGGCGCGTTCATAAGATATCTGTGTTTGAAACGTTTGTAAACGCTTATACTTCCTATCCAAATTGAAAGTTCAGGTTGCCCTATTTTTGTAACGAGTATTTTATGTTTCATCCACTACCAAAAATAGATTTGTGATATGATCATTTCAACGTGGAATAAACTTATTTATCATTGCACGCAGGTACTTGGAGGGATGCTGGTGCCAGAGTTGGCCTTCACCTTCAGCGGAGATTCTCACTACTACCGGATGTTCCAGAAGGAGATCCTCGACGCCAGATCACAAGGGGTTGACCCTGCCCAGCTGGGAATACCGGATATAAGGGATAACGGCACTTACGAGGTCAGTGTATAAGTGGTAACGGCATTCAAGAGGTTTGTGTGTAAGTCATAACAATACTGCCCAGGTCAGTATATAGCCTAATACGATACACACGAGGTCAGTAAATAGGGGGATAACTGCACATCAGAATGTAGGTTCATCGGCAATGAGACTCCTGGGGGTGAGTGGGTTTGGGTTTACACCGCTTTTAGCAACATTCCAGCAATATCACGGCGGGGGACACCAGAAATGGGCTTCACACATTGTACCCATGTGGCAAATTGTACTCGGGTCTTCAGCGTGACGACCACAAGGCTACCCAACCGCCATTTTTACATAGGAACCACGCATAATGATAACTTACGTGCAAATGGAAATGCTGATAGATTCAATGACATCCTATGTAATTCCTTATTTTCACTTGAACCATAATTATGCTCTTAATTGATCAGGTGAATAATTGATTAGACTTTGCATTTGTTTCTGATGGGTACCACAGACAGAGGAGATACGCTCGCCATTTTCGCAAACACCTGGGATCATCACTATTTGACAGTGATTCATACACCCATGCATGCTCAATGAATGAGAAACTTATAATTTTTACAGCGATTTTATTAGTGATTTAGGGAACTGTAGTGTACACTTTTGACTACAGGTGCGCGGAAACTTCATCGTCTTTGACAACGGCATCATCCAACTTGTGACGTGTGCGCTCAAATCATCATCATCTGATATTGTGTTCGACATCCGTGATCGGCGCACCAGCGCTTGCTACATCGCAGCCCCACATATATGTTTCTGGGTCAAGGACGACGTGGATTTCAACCATTACATTGCAGAACTAGAACGGAACTCGCGTGATCTTGGGTTTCATCAGGTCAAGGTCAACAGACCAGTGAAAATTCACAACGAGACTGAGAGACTAGCCGTTCCCGAAAACCAGTTTGGTATAACTTTTGACAGTGGAGACTTTGCTGGTTTATCATTCGCTTACCTTAAAGGTCCGAGAGGAGAGAGCAACTAGAACTGGGCCGGATTACAAACCAAACACGGTACCACCTTTGGCAGTGATTACTGCCGACGGAAGGGTGGCTACAGCCTTCTTGGGCAATCACCCTGACAACAAATGGAAGAAAGCTGCGGAGTCAGTGGTCAGCTTCTTTATGGGTTCTTCCATTTCGGGACAAGAACAGATGACCTTGGAAGTCCATGAACTTCATACTCACATGTCCTCGGTTCAGAGCTGGTTGCAGAACCTCTACAGGGGATGAGCCTTGAGGAGATGAACTTGAAAATATGATGTTTCAGAAAGAGATTCTTGATGCATCATCCTGGGGAATTGAGCCTCGAGATCTGGGGATTGCAAATGTTTCCCTGGCAGGAAATGACAGACTTCATCTTACTTTTAACCTGTTTGATAACTACGCAGTTGAAACTCTGGTGTATACAGCAGGAGGATCTCTGTCAGATCCCAAGTTCAATCCCAGATACAACTGGAGCAGTCCTGCCTACATCAACAACATGAACATGGCCTTCTTTGTCGATTCCAAAGTTGATCTGAACCACTTCCTACATAGTGTAGAACTGAAGGCTGCCAGGAAAAAATTCTCTCAGTTTAAACTGAATAGGGCGGTTGATGTGCCGACATTAGCAGCTAGCGTTCCTGCAGCACAGTACAGTGAAGAGTTCACTGATGGAGCTCTGAAAGGTCTCAACTACGTGTATGCTAAGGGTCCAGCAGGGGAACAGATATCCTTTGTTCAGTTCAAGGGTCCAGTGGAAGCCAAACTGAAATCAGCCCTGTTGCGGTATTCTGCTGTCAACACTGCCTTCAAGGAGACGAATCCGTGGGTCAGAAAAGAATATGACTCGTTTTGTTCTAAATATTCAGGAAGCCCTATTTTCGGCTAAAGTATAATTCAGAATCAAAGCTGGTTTATCAAATATCAGATGAACTGAAATATTTCAATAGAAGTTAAGCAGGGACATTTACTGGACAAGATGAAGTCATTGCCTTTATGTGCTTCAATCATTTTTACAGCCCTACAATCTTGGGACTCAAAGCCGATGGCCCTTGCTTTTACTTACAATTGATCATCATGAAGATCTGGGACAGAATGTATCATAAGTAACCCACGTTTGTTGTTGGAGGTGACTTACACATAATTTGGAAAACAAAAGGCTTTGGAGCGTTGTCCTCTCAGACAAAATCATTTTGACCACAATAAAAGATGCCTCTTGTGTTCACCACTATAGCAGGCGCCAAATGCGTCCACCACTATAGTAGATGCTGAATGTGTCCACCACTATATTAGATGCTGAATGCGTCCACCACTATAGTAGATGCTGAATCCGTCCACCACTTTAGTAGATGCTGAATGCGTCCACCACTATAGTAGATGCTGAATGCGTCCATCACTATAGTAGATGCTGAATGCGTCCATCACTATAGTAGATGCTGAATGCGTCCACCACTATAGTAGAGGCTGAATGCGTCCACCACTATAGTAGATGCTGAATGCGTCCATCACTATAGACACGCGAAGAATTGGTTGAGGTGACTAACGGGATCGGGTGTCCTTGACTTGGTTGACATGCTATTGATCACTGGAGTGTCTGGTGCAGACTCGATTATTTACAGACCGCCGCCATATAGCTGGAATATTACTGAGTGCGGTTTTAAACAACAAACCAACAACCAACCATCACTATAGCAAATGCTTCTTGTGTTCTTCACTAAAACAGACACATTGTGTCTATCACTGTAACAGATGCGATGCAGTAATTGTAGTTTCTAAACTATTCAGAAGTATTATTCTAAATAAGTATATTTTCTAAACACATCCAATAAAGCAACAGATTTCACCAATGTAACGTCATATATACTTTTGCTTGACTCTGCTTTGTGCAAGCTGATCAATCCATTAACATATATACAAACGGATACAAACACGTGCACCACCTGCTCACTGGTGAATAAACGTTTTTTGTCCCATCACATCAAGTCATGTTACCTGATCCTCTCTTTAGCTCCATACCTGTAACAGGTATCATTTTGAGCCAAAACAAGATGTTTGTATTGTGCCATATCCATTGATAAATTGTTGAAATAAACTGTCCTTCTTGGTGTTTTCTTGTAGTCAAGACATGATCTTCCAGAACAAAACATGGAGCTTTACCAACAGACTGTGAGTGCACACCACTTATGTTAGCATTGTGAAATTACCGCGGGTGCTTAACATATTTCCCGGTGTCTATATGAAATGCCAAGGAAAAACTAATACTCAGTGGTAGGTAAAGATTTTGGTGTGTGTAGATAATGATAAAAGTGGTGAATTCGTACAATGGATCGAGTGTTGTGGAAAATATGATTGCCCCCTCCTCTCTCTTTCAATATTTCTCTCACTTTGTGGTGACTGTTCATTACCATTGAGTAATTGTAGTCAGCCCCTAGCCCCAGGTAATACAAAGAGTGGATCTAGCTGTAATATGAAAAGGGAAAGTGGAATTATTTGGGCGAAATATGTGTTGAATGCAAGTGCTAAAGAAACCTTGCACAAGCTTGAGCTTGCATTGTTGTATATATGACAGTTTAACAAATACACTGAGGTTGATGACTTTCCATATGTATGGGGAAAGAGTATTCATTTGTGTAAGTTTGGTGATATAAATGATGTCAGCAATTATAGAGGTTTGTCTTTCATCGACACCATTTCTTAACGCTAGACTACAGAGATGGTGTAAAGATAACAACATTACTGACGAATCTCAAGCTGGATTAAGACCCAGTTATTCCACAGTAGATCAAATATTTTCATTACAGGCTATTGTCCAAAAGTATGCCTGCTGTTTATTTGCAGATTTCTCAACAACTTTTGATAATGTTGATCACAATACATGTACATTGTTACAAAGTTTGGCTGATATTGGTGTCTATGGGAGGTTTCTGTCTATTAAAACTTCAATATATGTTAAACTATGTCTTTGTGTCAGAACACCTGATGGGTTATCTGAATATTGTACTTTCAATATAGGTAACCGTCAAGGATACACTCTTAGCCCACAGGCGTGTTTAATATTCATCAATAGACTTGAGACGATTACGAAAAGCTATGGAGGACAAACCATCTCTACCCATCAAAAGTTTAGACTCACCTGAAGCACTCACTAAATGTTATGCATATATATGTGTGGTGACTTCGAAGATGAATTTCTCCACTAACTTGAGGAACCAACTGCAAACTTTATGCAGATGAATTGTACGAGGATCATGCATCAAATTGCTCAAAAGCATGTGCAAATATCGTTCATGTGAACAGCTGCGTTTTGGTGCAAAGTTTTGTAAAGAATACGCCAATTTTCACTGATTTTCATCATTTACTGAACTCATAACAATAATCTTTTCAACGTTACGAATTTGTTTTACAATACATCAGTTCATGTGTAAAAAGTACCTTTAAACTGAATGGAATATTTTGCAAAATCAAGTTTAGAACAGGTGACTGAATTAAGTGGCTACATTTACACTAGTTTGTCTAAACTTTTGATGGGTTGTATATATGCTCTAATGTTTGTACTTGCGATGAAGTGTTCACCATCAAGTATATTTTGCTTGACTGTGCGGACTTTTCAAATGCAAGGGATTTGCAGTATAAAGCGACAAATCTGAAAGATCTGTTTTCCCGCTTGAGCAGGCATCTCATTGTTAACAAAAATGCAACCTGAAGTAAGCTTAACTGTATCATAAACTGTAGCTACACATGTATGCAATGTGAATGACGAATTGCTTGTTTTTTAATTTGGTGCTATGACATTTTCTGTTTCTAAATAATAATGTAATGAAGATATATGGGGTTTTTTAAAGTCATTTGGACTTTGTACTTAAACTTGGTATGAATGTAGACTTGATCTCGCCACTATATGGCTGGAATGCAGCCGATGTGGCCTAGAGCCCAACTCAACTCAACTCTAATGTTTGAAGGTGACGTATCATCTTTTCCTGATACACCTCTAAATCCACAGCATGTTTTTGCTTTATTTTGACAGATTATTTGACAACCTTCAACAATCATGGTGTAGTTTTATCTGATTCCTTCTTTTATAAGCACTTTAAACCCTTGTTAAATTTAGAAAAGTATCTTACACTCCCCATCCCTGTACATCAGATATTATGCATGAGATATTGAAGGTTTAATCTTGAAGTTGGTTTGGGGAGATATACAAGTGTCCCATATAAGGAAAATATTGTATAAAAAGGAGGACATCTTTTACTGAAGATGGATTTCCTATTTTGCTTGTATCTGGGCGTTGCTCAACCGTAAGACATATGTATCTTTAACAGTATATCAAGTCCATAGATTATCAACATTATTTCATTTGAAAACTTAAATGTTGTACATAACATATGTTTTCATATATTTAAGTCCACAAGATAAGAGAAACAATTACTTCACTGACATGCGTGATTCATGCCACCGAACATGACTGTATTATGGACGTATGGCCTCTTAACTAAAGACACTGTTTGTGTATTAATATATGGAAAGCATGACAAATGTCTTACATGAATATGTCATGAGAGTGTTCAAAGTATAGATTAAATATAGCTGTCCTGCGTCACTTTTTGCACTGCTGGATATAAGTGCTGGGTTGAAAACATTGTTGGGGACACAAATACTTGTACACTGTCACGGTAGAGGTCCCCCATAGCCTAGCAGCATCTCCAGATGAAGAAATAAAGATAGACATACCAAACAACTGTCTGCAGATAGTTATATTTGCCCCAAGAAATTGAAGCTTTTCTTATATTTTGAAAAGGTGGTTTCAAAATGAAAATGACAAGGGTGAAACATTTCTCCGTTGAATTGTGTTATGTACAGCCTACAAAATCACTCCGATGAAGAAGAGGAAATATGAACGGATCGAGGTATTGACAAACAATATGACCATTCTCCGCCCACGGACTGATTGAGAAAGTGACGTGTGAAGACATTCATTCAGCCAGAAGTATGACCTTTATGAACA